TAGGAATTCAATCAACACTACTGGCTAATTCTTGGGTTCCTCCAAAATTGGTTTGTGAATTGTAACCAAAGGGGTATAGAACTAAGCATCGTGGGAACGAGGATACAATGGGGATACATGACATGTTCCAAGATGATTTGGAGATGATAACTATGCTTAACCCCTGAGCCATGATCCCTCGAAGGGTGTTGAAAGGTGAAAGACATGTTAAATCAAAGGTTTTGGTGTGTACTGATTTAGAGATATGTAATTGTAATCATATATACAATATAATGTATAATATATAATTATACATATATAATCATATATATACATATATATATATACATATACATTATATATATATATTGTACATTTTACATGTATACCATATACCCCCAAGTCTGTGAGTGAAGTCATGGTCACGTTGTTTTTTTGGACAAAAAAAAGGGGCACCGGACTCTGCAGACTCAACCAGCTTGAAGAGCTTCAACATGCGTGCAAGCCTCAGCGTAACGTGGCTGGTCACCTAGTGGCTGACCGTCTGAAAATGGGATTTTTCATTGGGATACCATCTGGTTATGACTAACATAGCCATGGAAAATCACCATGCTAATAATAGGTAAACCATCTATTTCTATGGGCCATTTTCCATGGCTATGTTAAATAACCAGATAGTACATCCCCCAAAATATGGCAAGGCTTCTGGCAAGGGTCAAAAAAATGCCTTAAATCTGCAAAACATACAGCAAAAAAACGGGCTTTCAATGGGGCGAACCAGCCTCAAAGCCGAAAAAAACTCAGTTTACCACTGAGATCAACATGTTTATTGTTTGAAAAATGAAGAAACCATGATAAGCCCATTCAACTGTTTGGTTCATGATAGTTTATTATGGTTTGTGGGAATTTATGGTCTATTTTGCTGACATTCATAATAAACCATAATGAAGCCATTGTTGCTGAATGTCCCACAACCAAACATTGCTAGCTGGAAAATCCTCTATAAATGGAGGTGTCTAGCTTGGAAAATCATCGAACCAAATGGTGATTTTTTCAGCAATCGATGTTTGATTACCTGAGGGTAATACCCATAGTTGTTCAATAATCATCAATAGTCCCCAATAGTTGTTTTTGGATAGTTATTATATAATAGTTGCACGCATCCTCAATAGTCATACCTACAGTTATTGTGGTTTATTAAAAAGTCAAAAGCCAGTTATGTATCATCATGCCTCTATATATATAATTATATATGCTATATCATATACTAATAATATATATATATACACACAATCAAATATAATCATTCCTTTCTATGGTCCCAATGTGGAAATTCCCACGAAATATTCCAGCCCAGGAGCTTCATCAGTCGAAAGAGCCGCGCGAAGCGGGTGAGCCTCACGTCAGTCGGTGGAATGTCAGGATTTCCCATGGGATTATCATGGGTTAATCATGAATTAATCATGTGTTAATCCATAATGGATTAATCATGGATTGATAATGGCAAATGGGATATTGATCATGGATGATCATGGATTAATAACAATAAGAATGGCTAATTCTGGATATTTGATCGGATGAATGGGATAAAGCTGATCTGGATACTGGAAAAAGGTTGGTACATGTATAGATGAATCCACCATTTTTGCTGGTAAATGATGCGAATATATAGCAGTTTACTATAGAAAATATATGTCCCAGTATGGATTTAGCTCTATGATTTATGATAACTTTTATGGATTTAGTTCTATGATTTATGATGACTTATATGATGACTTACAGTTTTTGAAAATTGAAATTTTCCCTAGTTATGTTAAATTACCAGAGGGTAAATGATGCGAATGAATCCCATGAAAAATGTGGTAGACCCAAGACTAAACCATCCCCAATGACTTGTTTGTTTATGGCATGGGTTAAATCCACAATGTCACTGGTGAACCATGGTTCATGGTTGAAGCCTGTTGAACCCCCCAACCACGAGCCATAGATGTCACTAAAAACTCTCCGTTGCTGGTTAGTCGGTTAGTCCGTGTCTTGATCCCATGGAGAGGCGCCAAACTCATCATGCCTGGCATTAACAGCCTTGGTTTCCTGAGATGGGGAAGATTTTCTTTTGGTAAAGTGGGGGCCGATTAATCCTTGGCTTTGTCTGGCAAGGGCAGCCCAAAACCCCATGCCTCTGAATCATCATTTTCTGAATCGAAATTGCCATATATTGGATAGGAGTATCCCAGATTATCCCAGATTTTTGGGCGCAAACCCAACCACTTATCATCTATTGGTTGGTTTATTTCAATATCTCCCCATAAAATGGTCTGTTTTCACTGCCGTTTTCACTGCCGCTTCGGCCAGGGAGCTTAAAGGTTCTCAGCACGGTCGAGTTGGAGGCCTCCGACGCTGCCTCCGATCTTCGCAACGCGATTTCAGAGCATTTGTGCAGCGGAAACAGGCCATCAACCAGTGTATAAGATATATCAGTTATATCAATTTATATCAAACTAATTGAGTTAAAGTTCATCTTTCCCAAGTAATTAAGTGATATGAATATCTTCGTTATCAGTGGATATTAATGATATGTCCCCATTTTTTTTCGAAAAGTCACTGGACCAAAGTTTGGGGATCAAACCGAAACGGAGGAAAAGTAGAGCCGACCCATTGAAAATAACTATGTATGTTTTTAAATGTGCATGTACATATAGAAAATGATGATTATTATGAGTATTGTTGTCATTATCATATATGATTTGTTTTTTTAATGCTAGTAAAGCAATAGTAAACCATCCCCAATTTTACCAATTTTATGGCTGGTACAGTATAAACCATCAATCCACATGGGTGGTTTATGACATTGCTTTACTAACAAGATATCCTATACTTTCGTGCCACTGTTTTTTTTTTCTTGGACCCAAACGGCCTCCACTACCCGATCGATGGGCATGGTGGATAAAAAAATCCACCAAGAAGTAGGTCTTCATGTAGTGCCTTGGCCGAAAGTGCCGGCGGGGATACTAAAGATGATGGCTTACCACCGCTGGATTTTATAGGGATTTATATGGGGATATATGATATAAATACGTATAATTGGGATATACTTGGGATGCAATGGGAAGATACTTGGGATGTACCCTCCGGTACTCAAACATGGCTGAGAAATACCCAATTTTTTCATGGAGTTTTTAATGGGCAAACATCTAGAAATGGCGGATTTTCCATTGCCAGGTTTGATTACTGGAGGGCAAAATAGGAACATAGAGTTAGCTCCACCAACATCACAGTGGCTTCCCTATTGCATCGTATTCCAAAGCCATGAAATGATTGGCCACTGGTTTCACCCTGGGAGATTGGTTCTTGGGAGCCTCAGGAACCTCATCATTTTATTCACATCTGGTTGGTGGAAAAAAAAAAAAGCAGCCCAGGATGTTCCCAACATTTTGCGCGGTTGGGGTTTTCCATGGGATTTTCCACCACAATGAGTTGAGATCTGGGGCGACTCCTGGACGCTGGCCTCGCGATGTCGGAGGGCACTGTGTTGAGCAAGCCGTTGGGGTCTTGGAAAGCGGATCGAAAACCTTGGCGCAGCCAAGATGGAAGCCCAGTTCAGGGTGTGAAGGGTGCCAAGTGTAGCAATTACATGTGTAAATGTACATCGACATATATATATATATATTATATTATATATATATATATATATTATATTATATATATATATATATTATATATATTATATATATATTATATATATATATTATATATATATATTATATATATTATATATATACACATCTACAGTTGTACATCTGTATATGTCTAGTACCAACTATACCCCGTTGGGAAACAACGATAGACCTGTTCCTTCCCTGTTCAGGCTTCGCTGGGTTTTCGGGCTGAGAATCATGTCCACCGCAAAGAAAATGTCCACCATGACCTCGTTTCTTGGCAGAATCAGAAAATATTTTGGAGGATCCTCCCTCTATATCTCCCTATCAACGAGGATTCCAGTAATGGAATGGGAGAATCTTGACCACCTGTCATTAGCTGCCACCAGGTCCAACAGAAAGGGACCGAAAGTCCCAAAGATTTTTGCACACCGCAGTCTTTGAAGGCGCCCGTTGACTGCAAACAGCAGCCAAGCCCGTTTGAAGTCCCTTGAGTTAGGAACACAGCTGAAACGATCAAAATCAGAAACGCTATGGGTTTTGGGTCATTATTCCAGATGGCTCTGGGCGTCCAGGTCCATTTCAAAGTGGTGTGATTCACCGTGTATGTGCTAAACATTACAAAGCTTGTGGTCACTTTGGATCTCCAAGCTTGAGAGTCAGATGTCAGGGAGACATCTGACAAGGTCTGCCACCATCACTCTTCACAAGTTAGGAGTCCAACGCTAGAGTCACTAGAGGTTTTCAGTCTCTAAGACATTTCCACTTTTCGGAGGGTCAATTGCTCCAAGAAACCACACATTTCGGTGAGATTCTGAATGTATGACCATCACTTCAGCTTATGTTTCACTCTAAAAAAAAAGTTGATGAAACGTGCCCAAGCCGAATCATGTGAAGGACGCTAGGTCAATCTCAATGATTGCCATATCTTCTAGGAAAGGCAGCGCATCCGTCAGAAACTCCTTGCAGTTTTCCATGCTGAAATCCGTGGTGACCACCACATGAAAGCCTCACCGCCAGGACTTTTTTGAGCCCTTGGGCTTCCACACCACATGACTTGTCCGCCCCTCTCCAGAGATGGTGTTTTGTTAAATTATGATTGGCCCCAACATCTTACAAAAAATGTTGGAGTTTATCCAACACAAACTCAATGGAAATCCTCATGAGAAATCCCATGAGTTTCCGCAGTGGTGAATGGATACGGCTGCTGCAACAAAACCTCCCGGAGTTTTCATTCAAGATGACGATGCCAATAGTGATGTCCCATCGCGTTGTTCCTAGATAGCCCGCGCAGTACGTATTATACATATATATGTATATACACTCTATATATATATATACATACCATGTATACATATACCATGTATATATATATATACCATACATATATATGTATGTATATATATATATGTGATGTGTATATATATAGTAGTATTATTATCATTACTATTATTATTATTATATTATATATATATTATAACATATAAGTACATGTTCATACATATTCCTAGTTCTGGACAGAAATTAAAATATGAAAATACCTGACCAGTGCCCCAGTGCCACACGGCGCCTTCCTTGATGTACCCAGGCATGCCAGGCCAGTCTTTGAGATCTTCATCCTTCACCATCTTTCGATAAGGACCTGGGACCCAACCTGGGACCACCCCTAGGAGTAGACCCCTAGGAGCCTAGGAGATCTACTGGGATGTTACTGGGATGTTACACATGTTACACTGTTCAGCCACTTTCTTGGGGTCCATGTTAGACTTCGGATTGCTTCAACACTTATCATGAAAAAAGCCTGGATTGATAAATCCTGGTTTGGTGAAAAAAGCAGGTGGCTTTGTCATAGCGGATCGTCATCACTTTATATCACTTTGGGGTTCAGCCATTGTTGATCAATCCGTGCTTATTTGTGTATGGGATGGCATGGGTCAATTTTTCGGCCCCCAAGTGTCCCAAAAATGCCCCATCTGTAGGTCCATTGTGCCCCCATGTTTGACCCATCTCCAGTCAATTCCTATTGTCTCTTAAAGGGCTGGAAATTTTGACCATGATATTTTTTTAAAAAAAATAACAGAATAATAGAAACAATACAACAATTAGCCATTGTGAATAACAATCATAGCCAGGGACGGTCTTTCACATCCTTCTCGGTCTCGCCTTTGAACTCCTGCGGAAGGGGGATGTAACGATCTCGCTATCAAAGAGACATACCCTTCCGGGGTATCTACCTTGGTAATGGACAATCTCCCATTTGTGTCCATTGACTGTATCTCGATGTTTGTCTAGTTATGACCATTTATAGAAAATCAACATAGTCAATAACAATCTAGATACATACTTTCTCTCTATGGGCATAATATACATCATAAACATTTACAGGTGGTTTGTCTCATCACTTTCCAATTGCCATGTTGATTAGCAGAATCCAGGTGTGAAAGCCTGACTCAAGTCACAACTGCTTGGTTTGAAGGAAAATCCGAAAAAGGAAACCTATGAATTTACCAGCCAAATAATCATATGCAGTTTCCTGTCAACTTTGCCTTTTCATTCAATTGAAAATGACCAAATTATATAATGAATTAACAATTACCGAACATGGGGGTTCCTGTCAATTTTTACCTGAAAGGTAAATTTTGGGATCAACAAAAATCGATCCCGAACCATGGGATCTTATTTGGTCCAAAAACCTGTTTGAAAAAAGAAACATTGGCGTCCCCAACTACAGTTGATCATCGAAATCTGGATTTTCAATGGTTTTCAGAGGTCCTGGCAAGCTGCAAGCTTGTTTTTGGTTGAGTTCCGGAGTTTTCTTGTCTTAAAATCTCTCACTTTGGGATACTTGTTGATATCTCGCCATTGCATCCACCCCCATAGTTACCACTGGTTACCATTCCGATGCCGGTCCTTGACTTTGAAAAAGCATGCGGGGAGGCCTTTCTCTGAGCAGAACTTTTCCTTAAAGGACACAGCACTGTTCCTGGGTCGAGAGGGCTCGAGGGGTCGAGGTCTCGGCCGGGTCGGCGGTTGTTGTTCGGGACAAAATTCTTGCAAAAAAACGAAAATCATCGAGAATCCCCATTGAACCAACGGATTTCTATCTCCAACTGTTGGATGGAAATCGAAAATCCCCATTGAACCAATGGATTTCTATCTCCAACTGTTGGATAATCCCCGTTCTCAATTGTTGGATGAAGACTCCTTCCCATCCTTCGTCCAAGCGTCGCCATGGCTACGTGGACCGGCAGGCCATGTTTCATCGCGCCAACTACCCTCCGCCGCAAGTCCTCCTGCATCTCCTGCAGTTTCTTCGGATTCTCCATGGTTTTCGGACAAAAAAGGGGAGATACCCTTCAGTAAACAAACATCCCATCCCCAACACACAACCAAAAGCCCCATAATTTGGGCCCAGAAATGATGAGAATACGAAACCAGAAAAATCGAGGGAAAGTCCAGCTAAGACAAGGCCTTCCAAAATCCAGTGCAAAGCGACCTAAATTGTGCCCTGATTTTGAGCTGTCCTCACAGCTTGGATTTGCCGGGTCGACACCTTTGTTAGTAGACACCGTTGGGCTGATGGGCTCTCATCTATCATCCCCCATAAAAATCTTCAATTGGTGAGATTCTCGTGTTCACTGGTCATATCCCCTGCGTTTGTTGGTTGCATCCTCGTTTTGGATCATGATTGAATATTGCCAATCTGTCTGGGCTGCTACAGGATATTTGAGTCACGCAATTGCCAACCCACAGGGCTCTCAACGGTACCCAGTCATGACTCATGACCCATGTCCAGATTCTGGTTGCCTCTGTCTCAAAAAATCTCTCAAAAGCGTTCACAGAAAAAGTGGCGGCCAGAAAAAAATGTTGAGTCCTATCATATATTCACTGGTATTTCCATATGTATATATATATATACATACATACATATATATATATATACATACATATATATATATACATACATATATATATAATATACATACGTATATATATATAATATACATACATACATATATATATACATATATATATACATATATATATATATGCCCATGATATTCCCATGACCTATAACCCAACAAACAAGAGCGGTGAGATTCACTCCTCTACGGACATGGTCTTCTTGATGGCAGTCTCAGCTAAAACCCACTTCCTCAGCCAAGCCGTGATGACGGGATGCTGAATCACACAAACCACCAAGAATCAGAGGCCGAAACCAAGAAAACATGACAAATCCTGGAAAGTCGCTGATAAGTAGGGAGTTGTATGTATGTATGTATGTATGTATGTATGTATGTATGTATGTATGCATGCATGCATGTATGTATGTATATATGTATGTATATATGTATGTATGCATGCATGCATGTATGTATGTATGTATGTATTGATAGAATTGATATATGCTGATATGTATATATGATATGTGTATATATATATATGTGTGTGTGTGTGTTGATCCATTTCCGTAGCCAACTCCCTCCGATTTGGATCACAACTCCAAGCTCGAAGCTTTGGGCTAGCTACGCATCAATCTGTGCGTGTCCGCTGTAGGTAAAAAACGTATCCGCTTCCTGCAGTCGCCCAGAAACGAAGTGGTTGAACGATCAGGGTGCTGAATGAGATATCGAGTGAATAGTGTTGCAATATCCCATTACTATCCCATTACTATCCCATTGAATATCAATTAATAGGATGAGTGGTTGATCGATGAGGGGTTTTGATGCAGAACAAGCTGGTATTGATTTTTAGTATCCAAAATTGAAAAGTTATCTATAGTTTAAGGCTAAGTTTTAGGGAATGTTTTAGAGATATTCAACCAGTAATCCCATGAAATCCCCATTCATATCTAGTGAATGGCATGTAAATTCTGATCTTAGAGATCTACTCTGGGCCGGCCGCCAAATTCGACTTTCCTTCGGAATGTAGGGTTTGCGCCTAAATCTAAATGGGGCTAGCGGTCAAAACCCCGAACCAACAGTATAGTTGATGCAAGATGTTGCGTCACAAGCACCCCGCCCAATTGCGAAGAAAACATGATTCAAAGTCAAGAGGAAGATTGGATCAAAGTTGGGCGCCCCAATATTATGGATGCTTCAAGCCCCAAGTAATCCCCAAAATGCATAGGAGGCTGATCCATGAGTCCCCTTGGTTTTAGCTGGCCTATGGTTATGGGTCAAAACCCTGGTACCTAACCCATCCAAAAATAGCTGGCATAGCTGGATCTTGATTCCCCCAGTCATATGTTCATTTCATAGCTTTGGACCCATATGGGACTTTCCATCCAGTCATAGTGGAACCCCAGTTATCATCCACATTCGGATGTTCCAATATGTTTCCCCAAAAAAATAGTGGAATACCCTCTGGTAAACTAACATAGCTATGGAAAATCACCATTTTTAATGGGAAAATCCACTATTAATCGCCATTTTCAATAGCTATTTTGACATAACCAGAGGGTATACCCCCTTGCATCATCCACATTCGGATCTTCCATCAGCCACCCGTATTTGGGGTACCCCCACCGGGTTAGCCTCGCGACAGCGCGCCTTGGCTTTGCCGTTGCACACCACCAGCGCCGTCCGATCCCAGCTGGCTGCCAACTTCACCTCATCCGCAAGCCTTGGAAAGCGGGACTTCAAAGATCTGAAAGATGGGAAAATTGAAGAAAACCTCAATGGATTGGTTTTCTTGGGAAAATCTTAACCGGAAACCCATGGTTTTTACATGTTTTTACCATCAAATTGTTCGGGCTTTCCGGTGTAAATTTTCCCATCATCCAATTCTATGAAAACCTAATATTCTTACCATCCAGTATTATGATGAAAATTAGGGAAAATTGGATGATGATTATTTAATATTATTTAACTTCAAAGATCATTAGGGAAAGTGGATGATTTTTTTTACCATCCAGCATTTATGATGGGAAAGCGGGACTTCTGAAAACCTACTCTAAGAAAATTAAATACTGGATGAAAAACATAATTGAAGAAAACTTGTTAAAATTGCAGAAGTAGGACTTCCAATTTTTCAGAAAATGGATGCTTAGAATAATAAAACCCAAACAAAACTGTTGCTTTAAGATCAGTTGTAGAGACTATATTTACACACTTGGAGGTGTCCCATGGGCCCGAGGAAAAAAAAACTGTCGCAGGGTCAGTGACCTTTGGCCAAGGGATGGTCTGTTGAACTTGCCGGGCGTCCACTTTGTGTGTACTGTTTGCATGTATACATACATATTACATATATATATACACACATTGTGTGGTATGTACAGTGTATATAATATGTATATATATAAATGTGTGATACGTGTTTTTGTTTATGTGTAATTATACATGTACATGTGCATTGTACATATATGTACATATAGCAAAAATGTGCACTTCTTTCTCGTGTCTCTCCCTGCCATAAAACCACCCGTTCAGTCGTTCAGTGGCGCTTTAAAGTCAATCTTCCTGGGCCACACAGGTGGAACTTTCGGCTCCTGGCGGAAATGCGAAAAAACTCTGGGAGCTACAAACTATGCAGCAAGTTGTCATTGGTTGTATACCTTATTAATTCTTTTTGTGATTCTTATGGTTAAATGGACATTGATGTGGTTCCACATGGGCAGTTTCCACCATATTTCAGCCGTTTCAACAGAAATTCAAGATCCCAACTCCTCAATCCCGGATCCCGCTCCTCAACCTTCTCAACCACTGCGGTCACAGCAGTTTTCTCTGCTTTTGGTTCCTTACCACACATAAGGTCACAGGTTGGTTGTCTCAAGTCAGGTTTGTGAACAAGACCATGGAAGACCATGGGAGCGTAAGATTTCTACATGTTCAGCTAACACAGAGGGTATCTTGGTCTCATGGGTGATGAACTCCTTCCCCTACCCACTGGACGCACCTCGGTCGCCGATTTTTCAGTCGCCGATTTCTCAGTGGCTGGCTTTGGGTCCTGACGATCCATTTTGATCTCAGATTTTCCTGCAAAAACTGACATGTTTTTGGTGGCATTTCTCACAATCTGATGCAGTCATTGCCCCAAAGGGGACACTAGCAAGGGAAAAACTAGCCCAACAATTGTGCCCACTACACAATGGTACTGCAATCTTCATGTTCATCCTAAGGTGCCCTGCTCCAGTCTCATCTGACACAAATACTGACATTTAACGATATAACAAATATTTGTAATATATATATATGTAAATGCATATATATATATATTGATTAAAAACATATATGCATTTACATGTAAATATATATATACATACATATATATATACATACATATATATATATACAGATATTTATATATATACATATAATTACATATACATATACATATATATATATACATATACATATATATATATACATATAATTACATATACATATACATATATATATATGTACATATAATTACCTATATATACATATATATATATACATATATATATATATATATGTATGTGTATATATATATGTATATATATATATATTCACATGTGTATATATATATGTGAATATATATATATATGTATATATTTTGAACATATTTGTATATATATATATATACATAATATTTCATAATATGAAGAAATGAATTTTGAATAACATCAGAAAGGCAACTTTCTAACCTTGAAACACCTGATGCAATTTCTAGGAACAGTGTCGTGCCTTGGGCGCCACCACAGCCTTGGCCGCCGACTTCAGCGGTGACGGCGCGGTCGACTTCGCGGTCGACTTCTTGGGCGCCATGGGGCCGGCGCCGGGAGCCAAGAAGCTCTGGCTTCGTGAAAATGGGGAAAACCTGGCTGATTCCCGGATGAAACATAGCTATTGAAAATGGCCATGTGTAGTGGATTTTCCCATTAAAAATGGCCAACGTCGGATTCGGAAACTTCAGCGGCGGATTCGGAAACTCCCAGGCCCTCGGATTCGGAAACTTGCCGTCCCTCGGATTCGGAAACTTCAGCGTCGGATTCGGAAACTTCCAGACCCTCGGATTCGGAAACTCGCTGCTCCCCGGATTCGGAAACTTCCAGGCCCTCGGATTCGGAAACTTCCAGGCCCTCGGATTCGGAAACTCCCAGGCCCTCGGATTCGGAAACTTGCCGTCCCTCGGATTCGGAAACTTCAGCGTCGGATTCGGAAACTTCCAGGCCCTCGGATTCGGAAACTCGCTGCTCCCCGGATTCGGAAACTTCCAGGCCCTCGGATTCGGAAACTTCCAGGCCCTCGGATTCGGAAACTTCCAGGCCCTCGGATTCGGAAACTTGCCGTCCCTCGGATTCGGAAACTTCAGCGTCGGATTCGGAAACTTCCAGGCCCTCGGATTCGGAAACTCGCTGCTCCCCGGATTCGGAAACTTCCAGGGCTTCGGATTCGGAAACTTCGAGGCCCTCGGATTCGGAAACTTCCAGGCCCTCGGATTCGGAAACTTGCCGTCCCTCGGATTCGGAAACTTCAGCGTCGGATTCGGAAACTTCCAGGCCCTCGGATTCGGAAACTTCCAGGCCCTTGGATTCGGAAACTCCCAGGCCCTCGGATTCGGAAACTTGCCGTCCCTCGGATTCGGAAACTTCAGCGTCGGATTCGGAAACTTCCAGGCCCTCGGATTCGGAAACTCGCTGCTCCCCGGATTCGGAAACTTCCAGGCCCTCGGATTCGGAAACTGCGAGGCCCTCGGATTCGGAAACTTCCAGGCCCTCGGATTCGGAAACTTGCCGTCCCTCGGATTCGGAAACTTCCAGGGCCCTCGGAGTCGGAAAAACTCGACTGACTCCCCGATCGGAAAATTTCCAGGCCTTTCGGGATTCGGGAAACTTCGAGGCCCTCGGATTCGGAAACTTCCAGGCCCTCGGATTCGGAAACTTGCCGTCCCTCGGATTCGGAAACTTCAGCGTCGGATTCGGAAACTTCCAGGCCCTCGGATTCGGAAACTCGCTGCTCCCCGGATTCGGAAACTTCCAGGCCTTCGGATTCGGAAACTTCGAGGCCCTCGGATTCGGAAACTTCCAGGCCCTCGGATTCGGAAACTCCCAGGCCCTCGGATTGGGAAACTTCAGCGTCAGATGACTGAAACTTCCAGGCCCTCGGATTCGGAAAGGGAGGGATTTGCATTCAGGAATACCATTGCATGTGGGGCTTTGAGGGGGGGGAAGTTTAGAAAATGACTTGCAATGGTGACAAGAACTCTATGAAAGGGAAGGATGTGCATTGAGGAATACCATTGTATGCAGAGCTTTGGGGGGGGAAGTTTATAAAAATGACTTGCAACCGTGACAAGAACTCAATGCAACGGAAGGATGTGCATTGAGGACTACCATTGCATGCAGAGCTTTGGGGGGGGAAGTTTAGAAAATGACTTGCAAAGGTGACAAGAACTCGATGAAAGGGAAGGATGTGCATTGAGGAATACCATTGTATGCAGAGCTTGGGGGGGGAAGTTTAGAAAATGACTTGCAATCGTGACAAGAACTCTGTGAAAAGGAAGGATGTGCATTGAGGAATACCATTGTATGCAGAGCTTTGGGGGGGGGAAGTTTAGAAAATGACTTGCAATGGTGACAAGAACTCTATGAAAGGGAAGGATGTGCATTGAGGAATACCATTGTATGCAGAGCTTTGGGGGGGGGAAGTTTATAAAAATGACTTGCAACCGTGACAAGAACTCTATGCAAGGGAAGGATGTGCATTGAGGACTACCATTGCATGCAGAGCTTTGGGGGGGAAGTTTAGAAAATGACTTGCAAAGGTGACAAGAACTCGATGAAAGGGAAGGATGTGCATTGAGGAATACCATTGTATGCAGAGCTTGGGGGGGGAGGAAGTTTAGAAAATGACTTGCAATGGTGACAAGAACTCTATGCAAGGGAAGGATGCGCATTCAGAAATACCATTGCATGCAGAGCTTTAGGGTGGGAAGTTTAGAAAATGACTTGCAATGGTGACAAGAACTCTATGCAAGGGAAGGATGCGCATTCAGAAATACCATTGCATGCAGAGCTTTCCGGGGGGGAAGTTTAGAAAATGACTTGGAATCTTGATAAGGAAAAAATCTATGACAGGGAAGAGATGTGCATTGAGGAATTACCATTGTATGCAGAGCTTTGGGGGGAAGTTTATAAAAAATGATTTGCAACGTGAGAAGAACTATATGCAAGGGAAGGAAGGTGCATTGAGGACTACCATTGCATGCAGAGCTTTGGGGGGGGGGAAGTTAGAAAATGACTGCAATCGTGACAAGAACTCTGTGAAGGAAGGATGTGCATGAGGACTTACCATTGCATGCCAGGAGCTTTGGGGGGGGAAGTTAAGAAATTTCAGAAAAGACTTGCAATAGTCGACAAGAAACTCTGTGAAAGGGAAGATGTGCCCTGAGGAATACCATTGACATGCAGGCTTTGGGCGGGGAAGTTTAGAAAATACTTGCAATAGTGGCAAGAACTGCTATGCAAGGGAAAGGATGCGCATTAAGAAATTACCATTGCATGCCGAGCTTTTCGGGGGGCCGCACCCCCCCCCAAGTTTTTCGGAAAGACTTGCAATGGTGACAAGAACTCTATGAAAGGGAAGGATGTGCATTGAGGAATACCATTGTATGCAGAGCTTTGGGGGGGGAAGTTTATAAAAATGACTTGCAACCGTGACAAGAACTCTATGCAAGGGAAGGATGTGCATTGAGGACTACCATTGCATGCAGAGCTTTGGGGGGGAAGTTTAGAAAATGACTTGCAATGGTGACAAGAACTCTATGAAAGGGAAGGATGTGCATTGAGGACTACCCTTGCATGCAGAGCTTTGGGGGGGGGGAAGTTTAGAAAATGACTTGCAACCATGAGAAGAACTCTATGCAAGGGAAGGATGTGCATTCAGAAATACCATTGCATGCAGAGCTTTTAGGGGGGGAAGTTTAGAAAATGACTTGCAATCGTGACAAGAACTCTGTGAAAAGGAAGGATGTGCATTGAGGAATACCATTGTATGCAGAGCTTTGGGGGGGGGGAAGTTTAGAAAGTGACTTGCAATGGTGACAAGAACTCTATGAAAGGGAAGGATGTGCATTGAGGAATACCATTGTATGCAGAGCTTTGGGGGGGGAAGTTTATAAAAATGACTTGCAACCGTGACAAGAACTCTATGCAAGGGAAGGATGTGCATTGAGGACTACCATTGCATGCAGAGCTTTGGGGGGGGAAGTTTAGAAAATGACTTGCAAAGGTGACAAGAACTCGATGAAAGGGAAGGATGTGCATTGAGGAATACCATTGTATGCAGAGCTTGGGGGGGGAAGTTTAGAAAATGACTTGCAATGGTGACAAGAACTCTATGCAAGGGAAGGATGCGCATTCAGAAATACCATTGCATGCAGAGCTTTCGGGTGGGAAGTTTAGAAAATGACTTGCAATGGTGACAAGAACTCTATGCAAGGGAAGGATGCGCATTCAGAAATACCATGGCATGCAGAGCTTTTCGGGGGGGAAGTTTAGAAAATGACTTGCAATCTTGACAAGAACTCTATGAAAGGGAAGGATGTGCATTGAGGAATACCATTGTATGCAGAGCTTTGGGGGGGAAGTTTATAAAAATGACTTGCAACCGTGAGAAGAACTCTATGCAAGGGAAGGATGTGCATTGAGGACTACCATTGCATGCAGAGCTTTGGGGGGGGGAAGTTTAGAAAATGACTTGCAATCGTGACAAGAACTCTGTGAAAGGGAAGGATGTGCATTGAGGACTACCATTGCATGCAGAGCTTTGGGGGGGGGGAAGTTTAGAAAATGACTTGCAATCGTGACAAGAACTCTGTGAAAGGGAAGGATGTGCATTGAGGAATACCATTGCATGCAGAGCTTTGGGGGGGGAAGTTTAGAAAATGACTTGCAATCGTGACAAGAACTCTGTGAAAGGGAAGGTATGCATTGATGACTACTATTGCATGTAGGGCTTTGGGGGGGGAAGTTTAGAAAATGACTTGCAATGGTGACAAGAACTCTATGCAAGGGAAGGATTTGCATTGAGGAATACCATTGCATGCAGGGCTTTGGGGGGGGGAGTTTATAAAAAGACTTGCAACCGTGAGAAGAACTCTATGCAAGGGAAGGATGTGCATTGAGGAATACCATCGTATGCAGAGCTTTTGGGGGGGGGGAAATTTAGAAAATGACTTGCAATGGTGACAAGAACTCTATGCAAGGGAAGGATGCGCATTCAGAAATACCATTGCATGCAGAGCTTTTCGGGGGGGAAGTTTAGAAAATGACTTGCAATCTTGACAAGAACTCTATGAAAGGGAAGGATGTGCATTGAGGAATACCATTGTATGCAGAGCTTTGGGGGGGGAAGTTTATAAAAATGACTTGCAACCGTGAGAAGAACTCTATGCAAGGGAAGGATGTGCATTGAGGACTACCATTGCATGCAGAGCTTTGGGGGGGGGAAGTTTAGAAAATGACTTGCAATCGTGACAAGAACTCTGTGAAAGGGAAGGATGTGCATTGAGGACTACCATTGCATGCAGAGCTTTGGGGGGGGGAAGTTTAGAAAATGACTTGCAATCGTGACAAGAACTCTGTGAAAGGGAAGGATGTGCATTGAGGAATACCATTGCATGCAGAGCTTTTGGGGGGGAAGTTTAGAAAATGACTTGCAATCGTGACAAGAACTCTGTGAAAGGGAAGGTATGCATTGATGACTACTATTGCATGTAGGGCTTTGGGGGGGGAAGTTTATAAAAAGACTTGCAACCGTGAGAAGAACTCTATGCAAGGGAAGGATGTGCATTGAGGAATACCATTGCATGCAGAGCTTTGGGGGGGGAAGTTTAGAAAATGACTTGGAATCTTGATAAGAACTCTATGCAAGGGAAGGATGCGGGACAGGGTGGAGTTGCTGAATCGGGACAGGGTGGAGTTGCTGAATCGGGACAGGGTGGAGTTGCTGAATCGGGACAGGGTGGAGTTGCTGAATCGGGACAGGGTGGAGTTGCTGAATCGGGACAGGGTGGAGTTGCTGAATCGGGACAGGGTGGAGTTGCTGAATCGGGACAGGGTGGAGTTGCTGAATCGGGACAGGGTGGAGTTGCTGAATCGGGACAGGGTGGAGTTTGCTGAATCGGGACAACCCGGAGTTTCTGAATCCTTGGAGTTTCTGAATCGGAGTTGCTGAATCGGAGTTGCTGAATCGGGTAAAGTTTCTGAATCGTAATTTATTCCATTAAAAATGGTGATTTTCAATAGCTATGTTAAATTACTAGAGGGTAAGTTATGGCTAGTGGATCTTGATTCCCCCAGTATGGTCATCGGATGTCGTAGCTTTTGATGACCCAGATGTCCATCGAAAAATAAATTGCCTGTGCTAGTGCTAAATGTGATTGATGCATCATCTGCATCCTTTAACTGTTCCAATCAACCACTGAATGATGATGAGAACAAAAAGAACAAGGATGATATAGGATGATACCAATTATCATCATCGTCGTCGTCATCGTCGTCATCGTCCTCATCATCATCGTCATCACCACCACCACTACCACCACCACCATCATCATCATCATCATCATCATCCGGGGGCTAGATCCGGGCTCCCCACATCGACAACCACAAAGAAGGGTGCCTCGGCGAGGCCGTTGGCAGTTTTCTTCGGCTTGGGAGCAAGGCATCTGTTTGGTAGGGAATGGGGGAATGGGATGATTGTTACTAGCTATTGTGGATCATTCCCACATTCCCTACGTTTTGCACCAGTTGAGCAATTGAAAATTTGAAGCAGCAACAATTGGATTTGGGGAACAAAAAAGTGGCTTTGAGGATCGAACTCACAAGTTTCTTGGGATGCGAGGGACAGAAAACGATGATCTTTGAGGATTTTAAGGAACAAAAATGGGAAGCCACACTCTACCATCGTTGCGGGGAAATGTCCTAAACTTGATTGACCCAAGGCGCCCGATTTCTTTGATCTATATACTTTTTAAAATCCCATCCCCATGGATTCGCTACTAAACCCAGGCTTTCTAAGGTGGTAAGACTGGTGCCAAGGGGTGGGATACAACATATTGACATATTGCATAAGAACCCCTCGCTAGCTGTGGTTTACAAATGTTTCGTAAGTTGCGTTTGCTGAGTGCTTTGACTCATCTCTGCAACAGAGGTCCCTGGATGCGTGCGGCAGATTTTGGCCAACAATTGGCCATCTGGCAAAACGAGTTGGAGATTTGAAAGGTTCACATTCAATTCACAAGCAATCCGTTTGTGCGTCTCCCAGGCAGAGTCAACACCCCGTGCAATCAAACGATAGCGCTCTTCCCCAACCAAAGTTGAGCATATCAGCGCGACCGCATCATCCACGCCCACAAACTCTAGCTGTAGAGCCAAGTCTCTGCCACATGTTGTATCGCCAATGTAGCACATTCCCGGCTGTGGCGGCGGAATCTTGCACTGTCCATATTTTTCAGATCCGATGGCAACAGCATAGCCATCACTCCGGAGAAGCACTGTATGAACACTGCCGGCAGAAATCTGGGTGTATGCCATCCCCTCATCCAAAGGTGGGATGTTGCACTGTCCGTGTTCATTGTCTCCGGTGGCAACCGCACGGCCATCACTATGGAGAAGCACTGTATGAACACTGCCTGCAGACACCTCGGTGTATGCCATTCCCTGATCCAAAGGTGGGACGTTGCACCGTCCATCTCTATTCACTCCAATAGCTACAGCACTGCCATCACTCCGTAGCAACACTGTATGGAAACCGCCTGCAGACACCTGGGTGTATGCCATTCCCTCATCTAAAAGTGGGATGGCACACTGTCCCATGCTATTGCTTCCAATGGCAATAGCACAGCCATCACTCCGGAGAAGCACTGTATGATCCATGCCTGCAGAAATTTGTGTGTACACCATTCCCTCATCCAAAGGTGGGATGTTGCACCTTCCATCTGCATTCAGTCCAGTGGCAACAGCGCTGCCATCACTCCGCAGCAACACTGTATGAAAACTGCCTGCAGAAACCTGAATGTATGCCATTCCGTCATCCGAAAGTGGGATGGTACACTGTCCCATGCTATTGCTTCCAATGGCAATAGCACAGCCATCACTCCGGAGAAGCACTGTATGGTCCATGCCTGCAGAAACCTGGGTGTATGCCATTCCCTCATCTAAAGGTGGGATGTTGCACCGTCCGTCTCCGTTCATTCCAACGGCAACAGCGCTGCCATCACTCCGCAGCAGCACGGTATGATGCAAACCGGCAGAAACCATTGCTTGAAACAAGGCCAATTTGATCTAAGATTTGATGTGTTGGTGATGGCCATGTATCAATGCATATCATGTGTGGCAATGGGTCAGAATTTAATGGATTGCGCAGTGCGTTTCCGAAAAATCTGCGTTCCATTTCCGACTGGCCTTATTAAGCTTTAACCCATCCCAGCGTATGTTGGTCGCTATGTTGTGCCATCAGCAGCTGACTGCGCACGTTTGCTATTCACGATGCATGAGAAACAGGAAGGCGGTTTTAAAGAACATACTGAGGCAGTCTGTTTGAGCTCTGTTTGTTCGGTTCACTTTTTCTTGTTTCTTGCGGCATCTGGACCTTTTGCTTGTAAATACCCATTTTGGGCAGCTAAAAAAGCACCCAGAATTCTATATAATTTTCAAAAATTTGGTCTCCAAAAAATGGGATGGCTGTTGCTTTGTACTAGTTACAAGTGACCCAAAACCTGTGGGTTCAAGAATGAAAAAGCTGACCCATCTTTTGCCCCATCTGCTTGCCAAACAACCAGCTAGTTTGAGGATGCTTCAGGTTTCTCTGAAAATGGGGATCTTCAAAAATGGATTTTCCGCCTGGGGAAAATGCTGGGGTCACCCTTTGTTCAAATCCCGAAAGGCTGTTGAACTCCCAACTCGGACTCTGCCGGTCAAAGTCCGATCCACAGGATATCTGTGGGTGAAATCAGATCGCCTTGGGATCTTCACTCAACTGGTTGCCCCCCGCTGTGGCCACGGGCCGGAGCCGCCGTAAAGGACACTGTGTAGGTGATGGTGATCACCTCAACAAGTGTCCAATGCGCAAAACGATGTTCTCAACGTGGAATGGGGTAACTATGAAGCCGAAGCCTTGTGGGATGTACCAAAAAATGGGGAATGTTGATCCATCAAAAGAATCAAAAGTAACAAAATGTCGTTTTTGCTTATTTTCAGCCATACCAGTTCATACCCACCTATGAACCGCAGGTCGAACACAGCCACTGGAAATCCCAATGGTTTCCCGGAAATTAATCATCTGATATGAATAATTGTCCATTGCCCAATAAAATTATACGGGCATTGTCTATTTGGGATTGAGTTTTCACCCGCACATAAGAAGCATCCTCCCCTCTGCCCATATCAGAGGTGACTGAGTGCCGGATGCCTGT